AGCCACTCCTCGGAAGGAAGGTTGGGCAATCCTACTTCCTTAGTGATACTGCCTCGGAAACCCAAGGAGGGGTCGCTATGAGTCAGGGCTGACTCAACGGCACATAACAACAACAACAACATGAGCACAATTAAATGTTCTGGAATTCCCATAGTTTGCAATGATATTCATAGTTTGTTATGATCCACACAGTTGAATGCCTTTGCATAGTCAATGAAACGCAGGTCAACGTCTTCTCGTGGTTTAGGAGGCCAGAAGTCTGGGTCCAGAACTGCAGCTGGAGGAGAAAGCACCTGTCTGCGTCTCCGGGTCCCAGCACAGGGACTATGGTGCCAAAGGACACGCTCCTCTCCAGCTCTTCTCTCTTGGTGGTAGTGGGTCCCTCTCTGTCTGCTTCTCTCTCCTTTTCTCTCTCGTAAGATGGAAGATGATAAGGCCACACCCCAGGGGAGCTCCCCTTACATCAGATCAGGGCTGTGAACTGAGTAAGACCTGGGTAAGGGGGTTGCATCCCATTTTAATGCCTTTACACGGGATCAGGACTGCTCGGTCACATCAGACCACATCGTGGACATGATTACAGCATTACATAACTGTCACGTTACATCACCGAGAAACCGCCAGACCACTGAGACTCACAGCCCAGCCAACTCGACCCACATTTTGAGAGAAACACGATTCACAAAATTCAATCCGTGATACACTCTTCTCCCTCTGAACTCATGTTAACCCAACTGGTAACATTTTCAAAGGTCGAACAACATCACAGTCCCAGGCCCCAGGGTCAGGCCTTCATTGCACCTTTTTCTGAAACACAGTTCAATCTGTGACATCTCACTCCAGTAACACACACCCACACTTGATCACTTCAGTCTGCTGTTTTATGCCTCTTTTCCTTTTATGAAATGTAAACAGCGTTATTATTTTAAACATCAATGTAAGATCAGTCCCTCATGGTACAGGGACAATTTGCTGCCTTTGTATTTTCAAAAGCTGCTTTGGACATAAGTGGGAGAACCCCCCACACCCCCAGTCAGTCTAAGGCTGGCAGCATAATTTCATGTTATTAAGGGACCTAAGAGGGACCACAACCCTCCTTGCTTTTGTGTTTTGTGAGAACTCATGCAAATTCCACCACCATGGCCATGAAAGCAGAAAATAAAGCGGCACTGCGGGGTGACCGGGGGGAGGCTGAGCTGGCAGGTGTGTCCCGCCATTCATCATAAAAGAAAAAGGAAATATAAAAGGACTGTGCATCTGAGAGTGCCTCCCCTTTGAGATTCTTTCTTCCGCTTTTCCCCCAAGCAAGCCTAATCAGTAATCAACCATTAGTCATTTCCTTTTGTTGCTACAACAATAACTCCTTTTGCTTTGCAATAGAAAAGAAAGAACCACAATGCAAAATGAAGGCATTCCATCTGAATGGCATTGTTCCCCGGCTTTATTAAATTTGCTCTTACAAATGTTTATGAAGCAGGAGAGCTGGTGCTCCCCCAAGCAGCAAATTTTGCATTAATAAACACTGGGGGGATGGCGTGCATTCAGGAACAAGGAAATGAAGACCCACATTCCAAGGTCCTAGGCTTCCCATTTGTTTTCTCCCAAATGAACTCTCCCTGCCACCTGCTTGAGCTCAGAGGCAGCCTGATTTAACTTTGTTGTAACTCTGAAACCAACATCTCCACCACCTACTTGGGGCTGTGACCACTGCTTGAGCCAGAAAACATCTAGAAAATGGCTCTCTGACCTCTCCCTTGATGGCCGAGGACCCTGAAATCTGACAAGTTAAGGGGCTTCATTAGCTGCTGGGTAGCCAAGCCAGTGAGAAACATTGTCGATTCTCCTGGAATCCAGATTTCTGGAGCCCATGGAGTTGGGGTAACCCACTGGCATGGATTGAATT